AAAAAACTCCTCATGGATTTGGCTTCAGTACAGTAATATTTCAATCTGCCAAACACTCAAAATGTTCATCCTCCCACTTGAGACATTGTGTCAGGCAAGCATTAACATGCTAACAGGATGTACGCTTCATAGTACAGTCAGACAATCAATTTGTGCTAGAATTTTTCTTCAAACTTACAGAAAAATTATGGTTAAAGTGTGACTAAAGGGGAAGTTGTAAATCTCAGTTGGTGCAGACACACTCATGTCCAGAGCGTGGAATGTGAGGAGGAAGAGGAGGCAGCGAGAAGGGAAGTAGAAGCAAAAGCACAAGGAATAAGAGATAAGCAAATGAGGGGAGGCAGTACAACATACAGAGAGCACAGGAGGAGACATGGTTTTCCTAAACATAATTTATACAATAATAGTTTTAAATTCCACTAAACAAACTAATAGTGCTGAAACAATGCTGATATCAAGCAGACAAATGAGAAACTAACAAGCAGTACTAACAAAACAACACTTCAAAAACTGCAGTGCTTATTCACTTCAAGGCAAATCCCTCACTAATGTTGTTTATCCTCACTGATGGCACTGCATTTGACAAAACATCTGATTGGTGGTGGCTGATGGTGCTAGAACACGTAGCGACAGGATACTATAATATGTTAAAGATAGTATCTACAGTTTATCATGAGATGAGACATTATAGGAACGTTTCATTCAACATGTTGCAAGGAGTGCACAGGCGTGCAGAGTGAGCTGATGTTGGTGTGAGAAGTTAAGCCCATTGTATACTAAGAAAAGAGGCAGAGAACACCCTCATCCAGGGCTTTGTGAAGGAAAGTGATTGAGGGGAAGACTGTGCTTCTCCAGTGAGTGAAGTGAATGGAAAAACATGTCAATGGAACACAAGGAGAGAGCCTGTGAATAAACAGAGCAGTGACTCACCCTTTCTGGGATGAGAGGAGAGGGCGGGGGCGTGGGGTACCAAACTGCCTCCACTCCTGTCCCATCCAAAAAACACCATGGTAGGTATTCATGCATGCTCACGATCCCACTCATGTGTCAAAGCACCGGGACAAGCTGACCATTGTCCAGCCAAAGTAGTGCAGGAGGATTGTATTTATAGGATTTGGAGATTGCAGAATGTCTGAGAACTGCTTGAAAATGCTTTGTTTTGAACATTTTTGATTATATTATAGCTTCCATTAAACCACTACAGCTTCTTTTAAGGTTATAGGAGATGAATCAAAGCACGACATTCACAAACAATCCAACCAAAACTATCAAACTGAGTGAACCAAGATGGTGGCATGATTGATGTTTGCGGCGGCCTCTACCGACACCCTTTTAATGTAACGCTTTGATTATTTGCCATGTCCAAAGTTGATCTACAGAACTTGTGCTACTAATGGTTAACAACTGCCTGCCAACAGCAGTTACAGAATTAAACCAGAGACTCTGATTAGACTCTTTATTACTCTTAATACATTTAGTGTTGTACTGAATTTTGGTGGCTGTGTGAAACACAACTGCATTTTTGTGCAACATAAAAATGACAAATAAACTAAATCTAATCTAATCTAAAAAAAAAAAAAAAAAAAAAGGCTTGTGCCTCCATATGGTGAGATTCAACTTGGTTAACATGCTTTTAAACATCAAAGTCTTTTTATGGTTCAGCATGGCAGCACACTGTCATGTGCTCTTCATATCCGTCTTACAAATAAAGGCCTTCAGAATGGACACACTCTTAAAATCCTCATAGTCATCTGATGGGGGCAGGCATTTTACAGTATTCTAAAAGTTTGAAGTCAGTGTTACAGCGTCAATATGAAACTACGGGAAACCAAGATAAGGAAGATCATATGATGCTGATGTCTTGTCAAATTAGACAAATTCACCCCAAAACACTATGCAGGTCTATATTGCAATTGTTTGCTGATAAAATTATCCCACAACACCCAGACCTGAGATACGTGTTGAAAGACTTAAGTTATTGTGAATATGGCTCTACAATGAGATAGACACTCACATTAATAAAGAGATAGAATAAAATGCCACAGTCTCGAGGAAATAACAGTACACTGTATCGATTCCGATGCCACAATGATAATAAAAACACTATTTAGACAAAAGTGATTTTCAAAATGTGATTTTCAACATTAAATCATAGTACCTTCTTTTATATTACCATGTGGTGTTATATCTATACCCTCAGCCCCATGGTGTACATATTTATTCTATGTGGTCTTACATTTATTTACAACCCTAGTACACTGAAGTTTCTGTTTTTAACTATTGAATACAGATATAAATACTGTGAACACTGTCAGATTTCCTTTCATCTATACCTAAAGGCAAAGGTAAAGAAGGTTATAAAACAAATTCTTAAATTATTAAAAAAACAAAGTAGTTGAATTAAATCATTAACCCTAAGTGAACATGAAACATGAAAAGGCAAAACAATATATATATATATATATATATATATATATATATATATATATATATATATATATATATATATATATATATATATATATATATATATATATATATATATATATATGTTGTGATTGGGGGATATGGGTATGTAGATTGCAATCTGTTTACAAGCATAACACACATGCACAGAATAGGCATTCACCTGCAGAACGCACACGCCCAGTTTTACCTGAAATCACTCACACTTCCTACCTTGGTGTCAACAATGGAGCAAGCAATTTGCTTGACATAAGCTAGGTCCGCGGTCTGAGGCATGAAGACAGACTCCCTGGTTAATCCAATCTGGATGAAGAAGGACACCCCTGCTGGAGTGGGGGGCCCACTGGGCATCACAGTGCCCCCAGGACCCTGCCCTGACAGCATGTCTATGATAGGACTGGGGGGCCCTTGTGGCATCACAGCTGGAGCTGGTGGAGAGGCCCCCCCAGGAGGGAAGAACATCATTCCCCCAGTGGGCATACAGGGGCTAGCATTAGCCATCTAAAGTCCTGTGTGGCAGCAGCCTCAAGCTGTCAGCATGTACACTCCCAGGTGCAGCCCGAAGTCCAGACAAACCCCCAACTCCTCCAGGTCAGAGTGAAGAGCCACGGTCCATAGAGGTACAGCACTGTACGGGTCCTACTCACTCGTCCTGTGTGCGCTCCCTCCCTCACGATCAAGAAAGTCCTTATCCAGGAAGTAAAGCGCACCACTTCACCTTCTTTGTGGTATTATGCAGCCAGAATTCAATCAAGCTGAGTGAGACCGAGGCTCCAAACTGCCTCTAGTGACTCTTGTCTCCCGCCTTCAGTGCGTTCTCAGAAGTTTTCTTCCACAAAATAGAAAGTCCAAATTTGATTGTAAAACTCCTTGCCGTGGGATAGAAACAAACAGCAAGAACAATGCAGAACTTTGTTATTCTTTTCTCCAGTCCAGAGTGACTTACAAAATGGCCTCCCTAAAACAGGAAACTGTGAGAATGGAGAGTGAGCGCAACAGGCTGCACTCTTTTTACAAGTCTTGCCTCTTTCAGTTTCAGCCCCAGATCAGACTTCATGCGCAAAAGGCAGACAGGAGAGGGAGTTGTAGAAAAGTGCGAGAGACCTCCCACTCCCTACCCGATTCCCTGCACAGCCAGAGAGGAAGTACAAAGATTGACAATCATTTTGACCAATAGGCATTCAGTACACCCCTCCCTCCTCGTCCTTTTTCACTTCTCCTCTTCGTCTTGCCTTATTTTCCAAAAGTGTTCCTGGGTCATCTTACACTGCCTGAATTCGGTTTCTTCTCCACGATCTATCTTAACCCTCTGCCATCCCTCCTAGATTTCTGACATATATTTATGTCATATTTATGTCTATTCTTCAAACTCGACCAATATCATAAAAAGTAAAAAAAAAGACTTCATTCGTTGCATACAGTGCTTTGCATGCAATGCTTTTCATCGCCACTAAAGGGCAGCCTTTCCATATGAATAATTAAACTACTGTACTATTACTACTACTAGTATCAATATCGTAATAATATGATTGACTGTTATCAAATTCATTTACAATTAAATGTCTAATATTAACCTTAATAGGCTAATAATTATATTTTTCATTAATTAAAGGATGTGAGATGTTCGCCAGGCAACAGAAAGAATACACAATAGAACGGTTGTCACTGTACAAAATCATTTTCTTTCTAATTGACATACAACAGAGGGCCATAAACAAAACAAGGTCATTTCATACAAGCTAGACTGCAGTTAAAAAATATATAATAAAATCAAAATTATTAAAAAGCAGGTTTCTAATACCTTATAGTTGGAGGCAATAAGTTTAATTACAGCTTAATATGATGTACAAATTATCACACAGTGATAAATTGCTAATAAAAAATAACATAAACATTAGTGTCCTTTACCTTGGCCTCTGACTGATTTTTTTTTTTTTACATTTTCTCTTTTTTCCTGCTTTTTATTTAAGTAATACCATTATCAATTACATTTATTCTAGTCCTATCAAGAAAGGATGATCCACTTATGATACTAACTTATTCTTATTACACCTTAATATTTCAGAACATTTTACAAAGCAAAATATCATGTACATTGACAACAAGAAGTGGTATGTATATCCATCATTTACAACCGCTAAAGTGTTACCTAGATTTATCTGTTTAGTGTGTTGGACACCGGTCCACAAAACCAAAATGCAGCAAGTGCCCTCCTTATACTTCAGATTAAATTATGTACCCTGTTTATAAACCACTGCAAACAAAACACAATGAAACACAGGACAATGTGGAATATAATCGAACTTGAAACAGATATGACAATGATAAAATAAAAATTGTTGGTAGCAAGAGAATGGTCAGGGAAGTTTCACTACCTAATATGTGGCACAGCGAGAACGGATTTTTTTGTTGTTGTTGTAGAGGACATCTGATTGCTTTCCTAAAGAGTAAATTAATTTTAAAAAACTGATTCATTCTCTGGCATTTTCCCACCAGACACCATCTGCACACTAGAACTTTTAAGGAGTAAAAAATATACATGTTAAATGAATAAATAAATTCAATCCAGAACAAAAACATTCTGCAATCTAGTTCAATGTTTAGGTTAAAATGATTATGGTTTCAGTCTGTACACTCCTTTTCATTGTGAATATGTGACCACGTCATAAAATGCCTTTATACATGTGAGTTAAAACTAGATCATATGTGGCCTAAATTACTGACACAGGCAGTATTTCACAAACACACATCCCTGATTCTGATTCATGATCAGTCTCTCGTAGCACCAAGATTGGATTAGTGCGTACACTACTCAGACATTAAAGTACTACAGTACAGAAAAAGCACCCAATCATACACTTGGCTTCATTTGCATGGGACATTGTGTTGCTTTTTTCCATCTGACTGCCAGTATAATTTCTATCTAGCAGTAGTAAAAATGAATTTTCAGATGTCCTAATTCATAAAAATTCCCATATACATCTGGCTTTAAATCAAGTCAGTTCAAAAGAGACAGGGGCATAACACTTAAGACAAACATGACTCTTGTCTTGGCAATTGAAATTGAAATTAAAGCTTTTCGTTAACACTGGTTAGTGAGTCTCTATAAGCAGAGCAAACATTCTCCAGCTCTACCTTTGTAACACCAACATTCTTTCTGAAGTCTTTGGAATGTAATGCATTGAATGTCAATGCAGAGATCATTCTGATGTTACCACTTTTCACACTTACTGCTTTCAGCCTTGCCCTTTATGGCGACAGTATGCATGTTAGCCACAAACAAATGAACCAATAAAAACCCTAAACAGGCAAGTGATGTAACTGTGCACGTATACTTTGTGATTCTCTTATATAATGCTTAGCAGTAAGCGCTCAAACACACAGTGCTTTGCAATACCATCAGCCCACAAAAGAAAGCACAATGGATTTATGTAGTGTAAAAAGTATTAGTCCAAAAAACTGAGCAGCCAGGATCCTTTAAAAAACATTATTACAGTATAAGAAGTCATTGAGGCATCACAAAACGGTGAGCTAGAGAGCTGGTGTCCTGTGGTGCCAGCCCAGCCAGTGGGCTGTTGGATAGTTGTGTGTGACAGTGTTTAAGCAGAGCAAAAATTGTCCATGAGATTCTTCGGTTGTAGTTACAAGTTTCTGAAAAAAATGAAAACAAAAAACAAAAAATAAAACATAAAACAATGTTACAGTATACTTTACGAATACGAAGACTACTAAAACTTTACTATACATTTCAAAATCACACTGAACAGGACAAGCCTACTAAATAAACTGTTCCCAAAACTAATGAAAATAAATTGTGACTTCACATTCCATAGGCACTTCCACAGCCATATCCTGTCCTCCCATCTCACCAGACAAAGATCTTGGCAAGTGCATCTGCGCCGGCGCTAGCAATAAAGGGTTGGGAAGAGTGGAAGGCCACATCATGTATGGCCTCGTCGTGTTTCTTCCTGTGGGCCGTGATCTCCTGCACGCACGTCCTGTTGTCAAGCATCCAGAGGCGCACTGAGCAGTCATGGCCTGTGAGGGGCGGAGACAGAGAGGACAAAGCTACTAAGTACTATTTATAAAACAGAAGGCATTGTCCTATTATCCCTCTTTAAAACGTAATATTAAAGTTATATAATGTTTCAGCATTTTTATGTAATCCATCATTCATCCAAGTGTGTTCCAAGAGGAAGAATTTATCCTGCCCACATTTCTCCTTCTAGCTTCCTCTGACTAGCACTTTCACAATCAGTAGCCAAAGGAACATAGATGTTTAGATCAAATTCTGTCTCTGAAACTTACTGCCTGAGATGAGGTAAGTCCCTTTTGGGTCTGTAGTGAGACAAGTAACTGCATCCAAATGAGCCACCATTGAATGAACAACTTTCCCTGTAAAACAGACAGAAACAAAAATAAAAGCTATGCTTAACAGTAGGGCCAAATTAAAGCTTCCTAGATACCTGTCTTGTTGTCAGCAAAGCGGATAGTTCGATTCTCATGTGCCGTGATAGACACCGCTTCTAAAGGGTGGCTGACTACACGGTTAATCAGTTCACTGCCTGTAAAGATATGTGGATTGAAATTAGAACAATAACAACAATCATGTTCTATTCCTTGTGAATTTTGAAAGGAGTCTAAAAGCTTACCATCCTTGGTCTCTGTCTGTAGTGTAGTGACACTCTGCTCTGTGTTGAGGTCATAAATCAATGTTTCACCACCATCATAAGACACCACAATTTGGTTAGGATCAGTAGCTACAAAAGCTACAGAGGTTGGTGTGCCATGTTCTATAAGTAAAATATAAATAATACAGTTAATAATACTACTAATAATATTACTACTAATAACAATAATAATATAACAATAGTACAGGATAACAATACTTATATAACCACAAGGATACCTCTCTCTTTATTGAAGACAGACAGACATGGCGTAGAATTCTGAGGATTCCAGATTCTAATGGTGCCATCAGCTGAACATGAAGCCAAGCGATGGTGTACAGCAGAATATGTGAGACCCCACACACTGTCCTCATGACCTGAGAGCACACTGCTCTCAATGCTGGGATCTGGAATAAACAGAAGACAGAGCAGCATGTAATACCGCACTCAATTTGCTATCCACATCTAACATTGGCACTTATTTACCATAGTTGTCGTAAGGATCCACATTAAGGTCTGGCATCTTCCAACAGCGAACTGTTCCATCTAGACCTCCACTGTAGCAGGTATCCCCATCCTCACCAATTGTGAGAGATAGTACAGCACCACTAAAGGGGTGGAACAGGTAATTTATAAATTACTTTCTTGCCTAAACAGTATAGTATATGCTAGTTTTGCACAGTCTCAGTAAATGGACAAGTCATGCCTCATATGAAAGCTCAGAGCCATACCGGCTTGTCAAAGCCTGATCCTGTCAGATCTCAGAAGCTAAGCAGGGCTGGGCCTGGTTAGTACTTGGATGGGAGACCACTGGGAAAATCAGGTACCACTGGGGGCCGCTAGTCATAAAAACTGTTGTTGTATCCTTAGGCAAGGCACTGCACCCTCATTGCCTAATATGAAAGTGGTGTTTGTGTGTGTGATTGACGGTGTTGGTCGGAGGGGCCGATGGCACAGATTGGCAGCCTTGCTTCCGTCAGTCTGCCCCAGGGCAGCTGTCGCTACAGTAGTAGCTTACCACTGCCGGGTATGGAGTGAATGAATAATGCTCTGTAAAGTGAGTGTCCAAAAAAGCGTTATATAAAACCTCCAGAATTTACTCACTGAGCTGCACTAGAACTGATTAATGACTGGCTGCAGATATTAGAGTGTAGGTAGTGACAATTCACAAGACATAGGTCTCCAGGAAGAACAGTTGATAGCCAAGGTCAAATACAATACAATCAATCAATGAATCTGCCCAGGGACTACAGGTGGAAATTAGCACTGATGCTACAACCTGGTACAATGCATCTCTCCTGTTAAGGTTAATGTAAAAATTGTGTGCTGTCCCTGTCATAAATTAAAAAAAAAAAAAATTATAAAAATAAATAAATTCAGATCAGAGAGTCAATTTAGGTTTTAACCAATGGGATTTTAGCACTGAAACTGCCAAGCCAACCCAAATGCAAGGCTCATTTCTGCTTTCTAAATGACGTGAGAACTCAAACACCAAAACAACTTGGCCATCATGTCTAATGAACAAATCATGATTATTATTGTAATGAGAGCCACATTTGATTTGAACATTTCGACTTGTACCTAGAGACATAGATATGTTATGTTTATGAAATTCTAAATCAAAATCTTACGTATAGTTAATTTTACTCCTTCAACCAGTGTGCCTTGTGGTAATGGTAGGTGTGATGTGCCTTGAACAAATTTCCAGTGTCAATGAACCAAATCACACATGCGTTCAACTGAATAATTCACCATTTAGGAGTGTCTTCAAGCAAACCTCTGCACCACAAACAAAGGCAAAATTATCATCATTGCCAACTTTAAAGAACCAGACAGAAGCGCAAACAATATTCGCCACATTATATATACCATATTTTTCTTAGGTGTGATTTGGTAATGTTTTCGAAGATGGTGTGCCCTGGAATCTTTTCAACCAAAAAATTGTGGCGTGATTCAATACATAAAAACACTGCTTTAACTTACCTGTGTGCTCTGAATGTGTAAATAGGCTCAACATCCAAAGCCGCATTTCTGTGGGAAAAAATAAATGTTACAGTCGTGACTCATACTGCCTCTTTATGTTACCAACACTGCACTGGAATAGTACTTGTATTTAATCTCACTTTTTTGAGTGCATTGCCTTGTTTAGGTTCCACAGTTTTAGTGTTCCATCTTCAGAAGCTGTGAGCAGCACTGCCTGGCTTGGATGAAAAGTCATAGCACGAATGGCATCAAAATGGCTCCGTAGTGTGAAACGTGGGTTCCATGTCTTCTTAAACTCTTCTCTGTTGTCATGCATCTAGTATGAAACGGTGTTCAGGATATATGAAATATATGAAGTATATAATTTATAGATTGTATTCATTTATCAATTTCTTTGTATTTACATCCAAAGAGAGATCGTTGTCATTGGCAACTGTGAGATCTGCCAATTCACCAAGGTTCATGTCACCTCCTCCAACAGCATCCATAATGAACACATCAGAGGAGAAACTGAGGGCGCCACCTTTAGGTGCAGTTATGGAAACACAAAGATTGTTAAACTTGAATTCAAGCCTGAATTCAAACTAAAATAACAGAAGCATATTAATTAATCATTTATATTAATGATGGAATATACAGCATACAGCTATTTACAAAGCATACAATATAATTATAACTAAAGATTTACCAGTCTTTAGTTACGACAATAATTATATTGTATGAAAAGAATTGAGCAATGAAAACTGTAAAAAATAAATATTTGATTGTTTTTTGGGAAGTCTTACCTTCCCCTGAGCGAGACTGTCCTGAAACAGATGGGGACGGGGCAGGTTTAGGGGGGAATTCCGGTATCATGCCTTGTAACTTGTTCCTGCGGTTCTCTGAACCAAGCAAGAGCACAAAAACACAAAATATCCAGTCATAGGGATTGTAATAGAAGGGCTATCAACAGATGGAACCACACAGACAGAAAAATACAGTCAAAGTAAGGCTGAAGATTTTAGAATGTTCAAAAGCTTTCAAGTCAATGGATAAAATCAAAGCACACAGCTAAAGCAGAAGACCCCGACACTGATGAACTGATGCAACATGCACAAGTGAATAGAGATTACATGATATACACCTACAAGCAGCAATCGCAGCTACACAGTGCTAAAGACAGACAGCATGTGAAACAGGACAGAGAGACAGGTGGTTGGAAAAGAGGTTGGTTTTATTGACACAAAAAGATGCTAGGACAAAGAGAAGCAGGAAGGATGGTGTGCAGTGAAGGGGTACGAGGAGAGGAGAAGGGATTCTGAGGACAGACAGACAGGTGCTAGGTGCACTGGTGGCAGTGATGCTGCTGTGATGGTGCTGATGATGTCGCTATGGCAACAGCGTACCTAACTCCCGTCCATCCCCCGAGATTCGTGCCTCTCCCGCCCCCTCCCCATCCTCCCCGGATCCCAGGAAGTCAAATTCATTCTGGGCATCTTCAGAATCATCTTCGTCCTCTTCATCCTCGGGGTCCAGATCTGTGGTCATAGGTTCTGAGCCCATCTAGAAAAGACCACATTCAGACATGAGACAGAAGCATTTTCATTAATTTTCGGTGCCTATGAGAAAATGTCCCTACCTTTACTCGAGACTTTTTGCTCTTGCGAGGTCCATCAATGCAGTCAGTTCCTATGCCCTTGAAATCATCTTCTTCATCACTGTCATCTTCATCATCATCCTCACAGCCATGCAGGAAGGGAATTTTATCAAGAACGGAACCACCCATGTGCTCCTTAGAGGTCTCTTTACCTGCGTTCCTACAAATAACAAATGAAGACATTAGGCTAAACAGTCAATTATGTCAGTAATGAGTGTCAGTTGAGCACTGGCCAACAGACATTTAATGCCTTTATTTTGAAGTAGGCATTTTCAGCTTTTATTATTTCCTCTATGCACAAACTGTTTAATGTATATACTAAAAGATAAGAATTCACATTATACTTCAAGTTAAATGTGACTTTACAAAACACACACAGCAAAAGAAAAATTTAACTCCATCAACGGGACAAAGTTTTACAGTGAAAAATAACTTTCATTCTACAACTTTAATCCATTTGGCAGAACAGATATTTTATTTTACTACAAATCATACCTGGACAACAGAGGAATTACCCAGACATAGCACTATATCCCTTTACTGCATCCAGACTCTAGTCTGATTATAAGATATGTTTATATGTAAAATACTGTTGCACCACAGACTTTATTCATATCACGTGTGTGTACTACATAATGTGGACCACACCCTGAGCCATCTGAGCCATGTCCACTGTTTGTAAAGGGCTTATGCCAATCATCTCACCTCTTGATTTGTTCTTCGATCTGTCTGACTAATAATGACTCTCCTCCCGTTCGTGGTTCCGGCTCTGAAAAAGTGTCACTGGGGGGAGGTCCGTTTGCCTCCGGACTGCTTCGCCCAAGAAGGGAGCGCACACGCTTGGATCGCATATCCACAATTGTGTCTGAATACCCCACTTCCTCTAGATATCTGTAATGGTAGAAAGAATATTGACTCTATTCAATTATCTATTAAGTGAAGTTGGAATAAAAGCAGCTGATCCCTTACTTGCGTAATAGTTGACGTCCCTCCTTCCAGGACATCTGATTGGCTGGTTCAGAGTCAGACTCTGCTGGTCCATTGGGAACTAAGAACACAGATGGGTCAATGGTGATGCAACAAAATAGTGCAAAAGGAAATATAGTGGGAGCTGGTCGTTTGAAATGACTTTATTTTCAGATCTGTTACGCAACTTAAATACCTTGGTCTGCCTCCGTTTCTGGCTTCTTGTCTGTAGGGCTCTGATCATTGCCTGTCTTCAGTTTCTGGTGTTTTGCTCTGCCATTGGACAAGCACCCAATCAGAATAGAATTCATGGGAAAAGAGCCACTTTAGTCTACACTCATCCAAAAATATACATGAGTATGCACAAAACAAAAGTAAGTGAAAGTACCTCTCTTGTTTAAGGGCATATTCTAGCATTTTGATGCGTCTCACCAAGTCCTGCTTCATATTCTCTTGGCCCTTTCTCTCACCCTGAAGAAATGCCACCTGAGCCTGAAAAACACATAGATAGATGTGAGTGTAATAAACAATGTAGTGGAAATTATGCAAAAGTATTCCACTACTTGTCAGTTTCTATATCTCTAGAACATATTTTATGTTGTTATTTCTTGTATGCAGTCTATTGTTCGACTTAAATGCAATTGCTCATGTACCCAAAGTCAGGAACACTGGAAAAGGAGAATTTGCTGATGAGTCATTCTGACAGTATTCAGATATCGTTTAGCGCTATATTAAAATATGCTTGCATATTCCCGATGATAGATTAAGAATGCATGAATAGACACTGCAAATGGCAGGAGTCTGCATCCTCTACACAAGAAAAGTTGTATTTGCCCATTACACTGTACATAAGCAAATAATAATAAAGCACTGACTGATTCGCCTGCTTCATGTTCCATGGTTGGGGCATATTTTTGCGCCACCTCATATGGACAAGTCACAACCGGTAAATGTGCTGATAACCATTGAATCTTAAGTTCCTTACCAACATTTTAGCACTCAACCAGCTGTTATTTGAGAGATCACAAACATTCCTGCAATAACCACAAAAACACACCACATTTGAACCCGATAATGGGTTCATTCTTATTTTATCCTATTCCATTTCACATAATAAAGCTGAATTTTGTGTTAAACTCTTTTTTTTTTAAGCACCTGTTTTATGGAGTAACTGTCTAATAAAAATCGCTCATTGTGTTGAATTTAGACAGGACAAGGCCAGTGCCACCTGTCTCTTGTGTTTGCAAACCCAGAGGCCTGCATATGTCACTGAGACACAAGACCACAGGTGGACCTAATAGTTTGACAATCCAACACTGATGATACAACACTGCATATATAACTGCTTTAATGTTTTATGAGGCTGTGCGGTTTAATTTTTGCCTTTTAATTGGAAAGAATGAGAGTTAACAGCAAAAACAACCAACTATCCTGTGATTTAGCTAGACTTGAGAGCAAAGATGGTGCTAACTGTTTCCAAGAAACCAGACCACATCCAGCAACGTGTGCACACATCAAACCAGTTTCCAAACAAACCATAATAGCAAGATGGCCTGCCTTTGACTTTAGTCCCACTTTTCTAAACACTCGTATACAACATGTCTGTACAGCCAGTTGGTATTGTTCATAAATATTTCAACTGAAATCTATTTTTAACATAAGTGGGAGAAAGAGTTGGCGAAATGCACAGAACAAGAGGACAGCGGGAGTAACATAAGCTTTAGGTTGAGGACATGTACTGTGGACGTCCAGAAAGACTATGCTTTTGTGTCAGAGACTGTCAAATCTGATAATCCCGGTGCATTCCACCACCAGGATTGTTTTTCATACAAATGTTAATGGTACTTACTCTACTTTATTTTAATGGTGCTAGGGGAACACAGCGAGCGTGCACCGTGAAGGCTATAATAGCTGTATTTTCATAATGTTCATGAGTCAAGATGCATCAACTGGGAGAATGTTTAGTGGACAAGACCCAACAGGGAAAGGCATCGAGAGATTAGCAAACCCATTAGCACGGATGTTAGGCTGATGTTTGCTGTAGTAATAACACATCCTCTTCAGTGTAATAGGTTAGCCCCGTTAGCTTTGTGTGTGATTCCACAGCACAATAGGGATACAAATATATACCCACTGTACATGTTATTAGTCATCATTGTATGAATTGTAAGCCAGGTATAGTGGAGATTTACCCGGAGTTCGTCTCTCTCCGCCTCCCAGCGGTATTTCTCGGCCTGGAAACGTCCCCACTCGTACTGGATGAAGTGGAGGATCCCAGGAAGCGTCATTCCCGAGTCCCCTTCGTGTAGCTCTCTTAGCTGAGAGCCAGGCATTGGCCCAGGCATAGACCCAGGGAGGAGGCCCACCGAAGCCGCCGCGGCCCCTGGGGCCATGGCCCCGGTCGAGGCGTGTGCTGTCGCCTGGCTCGGTGCTGCTTTGGGCCCATTTGGGTTGCGTCCTGCTATGCTGCTACCAACGCTGCCGCCAGAGTTGGGGTTTGGTCCTCCGCCGGATCTGTCCGCTTCCATTTTCACCGTTCACGCTTCCCTCTGGACAAGGAGGTAGACACGGTTTGTGTTATTGTACACACAATAACAAAAGTAGCCCGCAGCCGTCTTCTTCCCAGAGGCACTTCACCATAAGCTACCCTTCTTTCTTCCTTTTCTCACGCACAGAAATTACTATTCTTCAGTGCGTAAAATACTACACTTCCTCTGATGCACTTCAGAATAAAAGCTGTACACTGAGAGCGGCTAAGAGGCTCAAAAAAACATCATGTCTAAAATATCCTACTTTAACATCTCTGCAGAAAGATTGGAGATGAAATAAAGCTCACTGGCCATGTACGAAGCTAGTGTCCATACATAACTCTCCGGCTTAATAATACTTTGTATTAAAGAAAAATATCTTACTACTACTACTCGCTACTTTATTTTGGAGAGGTGAATTTTAAACAGGAATTAGAAGAAAATCAGACACTTGCGATAAGAGCTGGTTGCTAAAGCAGATTTCTATGGCTAAAGCGAGAGGTAATATGCCCGGGTTTCATCTTCGTTTAACTGTACCACTGAAATGACTGATGCAAGGTATGCACGGCTTTGTAACATAAATAGCATTCATTTTATTTATATGTATTGCTTGTGTTGCCTGCCATGTGGATCAAATTAGCATCACTGTCTATTCCAAGTGCTACTATATGCATGTCTTAAAATGCACATATGACTGTCTGCATTTATCTGTAATATTTAAGAAGCATTTAACGTATTATTTGCAATTTCTGTGTTTGTATTGACTAATCTAACCGGAGTACTGTATTGTGTGCTTGATTGATGAGATGCAGCTTTATGATCTATCAAATCTGTTTTGAACTTAGTTGTTTTACCTGTTTTCCAGCTTACTCCTCTCATGCCATTGAAGGGATCACTACACACATGGGTGTCTTGGACTATTTAATGTCAGCTTACAACTTGTGAAAGAAATTGCCATGCGCATTAGTTTCTGCCAGGGCTTGTTAACCGCAGCCATCATCCTGAACCTCCTTGTTCTCTACTATGTGTCACGAGCTCAACAGCAGATGTTGGAGAAGAGAAAGGAACTAGGCCGGGGCACCAAGAAGGCATCACTGCAGGGATCAAGTCTTGGGAGTGACATGGGCATATTGGCAGGGCACACTGGTGCACTGGACAATCATGGTCGAAGCCCTCGAGTAACAACACTACTTAGAGAGTTTGAAAACTTTGAAAATTATGTTACAGATGTGGCGAATTCCTTTATTCGACAGCGACCTGAACTGCCTTTCCTTGTGGTTGCGGACACTTCTCCTTACCCTCCGCTTGTGCTTCCAGAGGGCACCCGTCTTCTCCTGCTCTCTCCCAGCCCAGATCAGCCTCCACAGGCTCATAGGCCCGAGTTCCACATACAGACAGAGTTTGTCTTCCTGATTCCCGATGGTGTTGAGTTGGAGCAGCCTCGAGTGATAGAAAGACTGATCCGGGAGTTAGAAGGAGAAGGCGGGGGCCCTGTGAGGCTGGTTGCTGCCCCTGTTTTGACCCGGTCAGCGGTGCAGTGTCTCCACCTGAGGGTGAACCTCAGAGAGTGGACCGCCACCTACTCTCCAGCCGCCTCTGGGAGCAGTGGAAGTGTCTGCACGGCTTTACAAGGTGATGCTGTAGTCCTAATGCGCACAGAAGACCTCTTTAATCTTTCTGTGCCACTTGGACGGCCTCTTTTCTCTGCTCTTTTTATCCAGACTGCTCTTAGAGGCTGGAAGGTGAAGTTGCTGGAGAGTCCTTGTTTCTCAGCCAGCCACAGACCTCTGTTTAGTTCGGCTCACAATCAGTGGAAGGCTGACACCCGACTCAAGGAGGCCACTGGGAGGCTCATGAAGAGTTTTGGGTTAAAACGTCTTCTTCTGCCTGAAGGAAAGGAGCAGTGGTTTGGTTGCAGTAAAGAAACACCACGGTGTTTTGGTACAGTACAGGAGAACACACCAGAGTATTTATACCTTGATCGCTGGACACCACCATGCTGCCTGAAAGCGCTTCGAGAAACCACTAAGTATGTAATTAATATTCTCGAGAGCTCAGGAGTGCGGTACTGGTTAGAGGGTGGTACCCTTTTAGGTGCCGTTCGTCATCAAGACATTATTCCGTGGGATTATGATGTGGACCTGGGGATTTACCTGGAAGATGTACCTAACTGTGATCATCTAAAGAATTTAGACTCTGGCTCTTTGGTAGATGCAAATGGATATGTCTGGGAGAGGGCGGTCGAGGGAGACTTTTACAGAGTTCAGTACAGTGAGGCCAATCACCTCCATGTTGACCTGTGGCCATTTTACCCCCGTAATGGTATTATGACAAAAGATACATGGACAGATCACAAGCAAGATGTGGAGTTTCCGGAGCACTTCCTGCAACCACTGGTGCCCATGTCTTTTGCTGGTATCAATGCTTATGGACCCAACAACCACCGTGCATTTTTAGAGCTGAAGTTTGGAGAAGGTGTGATTGAGAACCCACAGTATCCTAATCCAGCCAAGAAAAGATTAGACAAAAGTAAATTATGAAAAAATTTTTGTCAAATGACAAATATGGACAAATACGTGTGTATTGCAGAAGGGATGTTTAATGTATAATAATTTAATAGAACTTTACAGCAAAAACATTAAACATTACAAATATTTTAACAACATAAAAGGTTAGAGGGAGTGTTCACCCGGATCGCAGATTAAATTATATTGAAAAACAGGTGCTCAACAAGTTTCTTAAAGGGCAAATACTTCAAAAAGATTAAAAAAAAAAAAAAAAAAAAAAGGTCTGAGGCACATTGCCCTGATGGAGATGGAGACTGCTTTATTTACACCAAAGCGTTTCAGCTTTGACATAAATAAAGACAGTGGCCGTAGGTTATTTATTCTACAGTAAGTTTTGAACAATTGTTTTGTTTAGGTTTTCCTTGAGCAATATGTGTATGACTGAAAATTGTCTCAAGATATTTCTCTGTATTGTGAGCCATCATATAAGATATACATTTAATGTGCAGTGGTAATGTTCATCTGTAAAACGTTGATCCATCTTCATGAAATGAATCACAGTGGTACACAACGTTCAGCCCCCAAACTGTCTATCAGTCTATAGTGCACTATAATGTTTAACTTGTTTAAATAAAACATTGTGCTATGTTTTAACATTGCTTTTGTGTCTCGTATGTTTTTATATTTACTTTTAAGCGCACAATGGATGTGATTGCCACTTTTTCACACTAGGTGGCAGGGTAATCATAACAATCTTGACTTAGCTACTTGTAAATGTACAATACATGCCACGTGTATTAATAGACTTCAGTCTAGTCAGAAAACCATCCTGGATGGATGGTAAAATACAGAAGACATAACTTGTTCTATAGTAGAATTTTCAAACAAAAATATTGACCAATATAAGAAAAGCCATTTATTGATTTACCTAATGACCATACCATAATTCTTATAGGAAACAATAGAATCATGACACAACGAATTCCAAATACATTGTCAAAATAAATGGTAACAAAACCATATCAAGATATACAATTTCATTCTTAAAGCAACAATTCTAAAGCAGTTACTTCATGGATTGTGTATCATGTACAAGTTAACAAATTATCAAATTTAGTTGTATGTAATAAAGCAAGTGCCTCAAGCTTAGTAGTGGAGTTGTTAGAATGGTTTACTCATCATATCACAATTTGTTGCATTAAAACCTATATTTCTTCAAAACAGTACAGTATGTAAAAGAATAAATGACAGATTCAATGTTTTAATATTTGGAGATTGAAATAAGAATTCTCAAACTACTATCACAAATAAGCAAACGGTTTTTACAAATATGCTAAACAAATAATACAAACTTATTATAAACTGTAGACTCTAAAAAGACCATCTTTGGATTGTCAACAATATTGAAAATAATAAACTAGTAACAATATTCTTTTTTTTGTTGTTGAACTGAACACAACTCTATCTTGTCAGGCAACAATGGTTTAGGTCCAGCAATCCACTGTCAACAATGCAGCAATATAGTCTTACCTCACACCAGTTACATTCAGAACTCTACAAACTCATCAACAACAGCTTTGTGCGTAGTAGTTTGTGCTTTGACAGAGTTTTAACGAAACAACATATCCATATTATTCAGTGTTTTTAGTCCAGCAGCCAGCGTTGGTGAGATTTTTGGTCTTTCTCTCTGGAGAGCAACTCGGCACAGTTGTGAAGAAAGTTAAACCTGAGTCACAGAGATTGTCATTATTTCTTATGTCCACCAAAAGTGGCAGAAGTGTCCGGAGTGTGTGAATGGGTCCTTGAGATGATTCCTTCATTCAGTGTTAAGAATAAAAGTACTTATAACAGTATAACAATATAAATAAGATCAAATAGTCCCCCTCCCAACAAAATCCATTGGGTCATTAACACAATTTCTGACAATAAATATAAAGCTTAAGATCCAAGAAAAATAAATTGTACATAATAATATACTTTTGGCTCTACTTGCATATTTAACGGAAACTAAAAGTAAATCCTTTACGAAGAAAATAGAAACAGTACACATATACAA